TGCACTCGTAGTTAATATTATATTTAGTTATATTTAGTTATGCATTATATTACATTATAATGAATCAAAAAAGAGTTTATTGCAAAAAGGACATTTTACATTCCATAATTTTTATTCAAATCGATTATTTTTCGTATGAATTCCTGTACGAATGAATTCAATCGAATGAATTCTTATTCAAATAAAATCTTATTCAAATGAATTTTTATCTAGATAAATTTTTATTCAATAATATCGAACAAAGTATTATTCGTTAGTCTTTATCCCTTATCCGTCACCGAATACAATGTTCTCCGACTCTGTCTCAGAGTCGCTATTCGAACGCAAACAGCTAAAGCACGGTTCCAAGTCCTGCAAAACATCTGCGAATTCCAAATCCCAATTCGACCACTATCATCCTCGGATCGCGAAGGAATCGCGAGGCAGTGAACAGCAGCATTCAACACCTCCTGTCCAGTGTTCTTGCGTGGATGCCGATCGTCTGCGGGACTAGTACGACACAAGTGCTGATCCTTGCGCACTTCTTAGCCGACCATAAATCACAGGGCGACCAACGGCAAACCGGCGACCATTATCGCAGTGAAGATTCGACCGCGTCGTTTATCCTCGATCCTTTTCCCGACGGTTTCGCCATCGCGATACCTCGATCGAAGGATCGGTATCTGACGATAACGCGGGACAAGGTTCCGTGGATACGGAAAAACGATCGCCTATCTGTCTAAACGTTGATGGCATTCCAGTTGTCCTAAGCTTGTTTGCTAGCGATGGTACTGATTAGCGACATCCATTTTAGCGAATGAAAATCAATAGTCGTGCAATCGATAACTCAATAAGAATCAAATCAACCTAGATATACTGTGGGCGTAGAAAGTATTCGTACACTTTTTGAAACGGAATAAGTTTTTTATAATTGGACCACGCGGTCTAAATTTTTTTTTTGGATGATAGAAAGATTAGTTTACTAGGCAATGACTAAAAAATTATTTTCAAAAAATTGCAATTCGTTGGGCATGATAAAAGAATTAAAAAATGACGTTTTTCTAACTTTTTTATCTGAGCCTATAACGAAAATTTAAATAATGCATTTTGTAGATCTCGGTAACTTATATGCATGCTGAAAATTTCATCGAAATCGGTTAACCTTGATGTGAGTTGTAAGTAATTAAAGATCGCGAAAAACATAGTTTTTCACGAATTTCAACCAAAAGCAAGTAATTTTTACATCTTTCAGCGGCTGTAGCTTGACTATGTGTCGACCGATTTTGCTGAAATTTTTTGCATGCATATAAGTTACCGAGATCTACAAAATGCATTTTTTAAATTTTTGTTATAAACTCGGATAAAAAAGTTGAAAAACACAACATCTTTTAATTCGTTTATCATGCCAACAAATTGCAATTTTTGAAAATAATTGTTTAGCCCTTGTCTAGTAACCTAATCACTCTAACATCCCCCCCCCAAAAAAAAAATTTAGACCGTTTTGCCCAATTATAATAAAGTTATTATGTTTTAAAAGATGTACGAATACTTCCTACACTCACTGTATATAATATTAGGTTCTGATACCTAAATTACGTTCCCAGCGGTTCGATTAGAGGAAAATTGTTTCTTCCATGTAGTGATCGGATCGACACTAAATCAAATACCTACCGTCGATACCAGCCCGGAAATTCTGATACCGAATCGAATAATAATAAAGATGTAGGTAGTCAAAAGTATCGATACCTGTTTGATATCTCACAAACGTATCGATGCCTATTTGATACCTTACAAAAGTATCGATACTCGCTTGACGTAATCTATGAGAATTTCAATACCCGTTTTATATCTCTCGAAATGTTCAATATTCACTTGAAAATTCACTGAAACATTTATATGTATTTCTCTGATATTAAAAATGATTAAAATAATAATAGCAATAATATTAAACTAAAGTTCTCATTTTCACCTTTAAACTATACAAATAACGTAGATTACAATTTTCATCGAATTAGATCTGCTTGACTAAGTTATTATTTTAATAACTTTTAATACCAAATAAATGTAGATGTTTTAACAGTTCAAGATTTTGAACAAAATCGATCTAAGTGAATCGTGATTTTTTCATTGAAATGATTTTCAAAATCTTGAAATAGTACATAAATGGGACGGGATTAATAAACAGCGTGTTAAAATCTATGAGAAATGATGTATAACCTTGACATTACAAAAAAATAGATTTATTTCTAATCAATATTCACCAAGACAATTGTTTTACGATACTCCACATGCAACAAACAAATCCCCTTCTTTCAAACAACGAAAGAAACATAAAGAAAAATGATGCTGGTCTGATTGCAGAAGTGATAAATTGAAAATTTCAAAGACCAATGAATTTTCATCACTTATCAAAGCAGGAAGGAATACTTCACTAACGAACATAGCGAAGCCTAATTGAATTAATTATATTCTCATTAATATATACATATTACAATATCCACATTCGACATGACAGATAAATTCGATAATGATTAGAATGAAATAAAATTTGCGTATTAACCTGTAATCTACGTCTGTCTTAGTGGACATACAGGAAATGTCTATTATTAAGTCGCTGATTAACACATAAATATGTATTAAAGACGAATGTCTGCATGACGAAAATTCGTCATTTCGCAAACAATCACCAACAGCCAAAAATTCGTCATTTTTACATTACAGCAAACAATTGTGTGATTCTTTTTCTTTTATTTCTCATTAAAACCAATAAAGCGATCCACCAAAATTCGATCCACCTGGCAGACTAAATTATGATTTACGTAAACCTAAATGCGTTAAAATAGTGACTGCAGGAAAATTACCGGACGAATATGTGTTAAGAACGGCAATAGTACCAGTCGTTATCAGTTGCGTAAATTTGATTGTTAAAAGCCTGTGGCGCAGCCAAGGTAGAACCGGTATCTCCTAAATGATTTTCTAACAT